TGCAGTATAATGTCGAATATTTGTTTAAAAACAGGGTTATTACAATAAAAGTTTTTGTTTTAATTATTTCCCGTAAAAATCGTAAGTGACATTGAAGAGTATGAAATAACAGTATAGAATGAAGTGAGCTTTTGTCCGCCTGTCGAAGGCTACGTACGAGTAATAGAACGTAAAAAACTGAAAGACGCAATATCCCAGGCCACTTCATAGCTACTTCATCCGTTCCTTTCTACCATTGTGCGGATCCTCTTTAAATTTTTCACGGGCTTATCACATCGATCAGGCGTTATTTATTCAGGTCACGATGTAATTCTGAGAAGTTTGTTCATTTACATGTATTCCTTTTTTTTTGTAGTAACTTGTTTGTATTTGCTTTATAGAAAATTGAATAAAACATACGTCTACTTAATGAAAATTGCTTTTTGCGTTTATTAAATTATTTATTGTAAAACTTACTTTGATTTATCCTCGTCGTATGAAATATTTACTTCATTGCCATATCAAAACAATAGTAATTACTTGTGTGGTACTTATTATTCTCGGAATTAACCAGTGTGGAGAGCAACAGACAGTGAGTTTCAGTACGAGATAGAGATTAATACTATGCAAGTGTCGGTAAAGCCGAGAAGCAATAACGTTTCGTTAATGTCTCCCATTTAGAACGTACACGGTAAGTGTCTTGCGTCGGTTGACGTCGCACAACCGAACATGTACTTATTTCATGTCGTATCACCTCCCCACAAAACTAACGAGACTGGCACCCTAAATCCTGGAATCACTATTCGTTATCTGCACGGTCTGTGTATTTTTATAAATGGCAGAGATCTGTTGGAAGGCGCCCCATGCGAGACCTAATGAGCTGTGAAGTAGATAAGGTATGCGACAGTAGAAACCGGGATCATACCCTATCTATGCGAAATGCTCACTGCTGCGAAAGCCACCGACATGTGTTTGGATACAGTTGTAATATTTACTACGACTACAATAAATTTTATAATATTTTATTCATAACCCTATTCCGGAATGCCAGTTCGTAAATAGAAATCAATTTCAGTTTTCACTAAAATACCTTTCATGTAAACTTTCACCAACAAACGTACAATGTGGATGCAGATAAAGATGAATGATAGGGAGGTCACGTTATATCCTGTGAGTGTAGTAATAATGAAAAATAGGTGCTTCAAAATACGCATTTATTCAGGAAGACAAAGAACAGACAATCGCGCTAGAGGCTGTGGGCAAACAAAAATTAAATGCAACGTCAGCATTGTGTGGTTTGGCCGTCCTTTGTGCCCTCACAGCGCAACGATCCCCCGAAATTCTCTGTGTAAAAATTGATTAATATTGTCCCAACCTACTATGCCGCAATAAGCGGTATCTTCTTTCTTTCATGTTATAGAATACTCTTGAAAGAATGTATTTAACAGTATTTCCTGGACACTTAATTATTGATTGGATTTGATTATTAGTTGGATTTAGAGTAAAAAGTAATTATTTATAAAGTCTGAACATATCCAATGTTCAGACTTTGTCTCTGTCTATGTAGTCTCTTCATTCAATGTTTAGATTTAACACAAAAATAGTGTATCATCTACTCTCTTACTTTCGTCGTCTACTTCATCAAACTACGTATAAGTACATAGGAGTTTGAATAAAAACGTTTTAATATTTTGGCCAAAATTAACTTCACAGCGTTTACTTTAAAAAAAAATGTAAGCGTAGTGTGCGTGGTGCTTAGGGCATATTATGGATCGAGTCAGAGCAACTCGTAAACCTGGGATATGCGGCACGTAAAAGGACCGTAGTGTCGCTGGACGCAGGCTTCTACGTAATTGGTATGTGTAGCTTTTTATCGTGCGTCGGCCGCTCAGTGTTTTCCGCCTGCGGTCAAGTTAGGCTAAATTAAATTGTTGTATTTTTTACAACAAAATGACTATGACGTACCCGTTAACGCCTATATTTAAATTCCAAACTAACTAATTATCTTCTTAATAACTATATGCTCGGTTCACTTAAATTTTTATAAGTTATACATAAAACATTGTTTAGGAATATGAAGAATGTAACTTGTAGGATTTAAGCAGGATTTTCCTGGATGAGGATGGAGTCCAAGCCCAACTGTACAAGAAAAGAAAAGAAAACATAATTCGATGTTGATGCTGTGAACTATTTTCACAATCTTTTAGTAACAGTCAATAAAGCCGTGTGAGAAAGCGTGTAATGCATACGTATCTTTGACATTAAAAGTTCACTCTAAATAATTTTGACTTTTCGTCTTAATTTGTAAAACGTAATAGGATATTTGGATTGTTTACTCATAAGTATATTTTTGCCATTTTAACAGTATAGGATATGGACACAAAACCCTAATAAAAATAAAAAGAATGGTGTCAAACATGTTATGAACCCTAACAATTAATAGGACCAATCAAAGGAAACGCGTACCAATTTAGAGTACGGGCTAAGAATTGGATATGCGGTAAATAATAATTTTCCCTGTGGAATGAACTGCGTTGTCCACATTTAAGGTAATTGCCAACAGTTTTGGCTGACGTGGCGGCCGGTAAACCTGACACTCACTCCCATAGGACCACCCTTTACAATCCCATTTATAAATGCCGCTTAATCAAATTTTTATTTATTGTTCCCTCAGTATTTTGACTGTATAAAAAGAGAATTAAATTTTTATTAAAGCTTATAGTTATTGTTAATCGGATAATTCTTCAGTATTTTTACATTGATTTTAATTTATAATAAAATGTATATATGATATAAAATTATAAATCTAATAAATAGGTTTTATACCACATTCGTTTGTAAATGTTTTATATTTTATGGGCTCAAGGGTGATATAGCCAATACGTATACTATCCAGCACATGCGGTTATCGATCAGGCAGACAGTCCTATATATATAAATTAAAAAAAAAGTATGTTCATGATCCGTTTGCACCTTATTTTTATGACCACTTCGCAGTATATCATTTATATCGAACACGGGAAAATATTCTCCTAAAATTTTATACATTCATTGGTTTCATTGGGGTTACGGCTGTAACTATAGCAACGTAATACTTATAAAGGTACACAACTTCACATTACTCACGTTTGAATAGAAATACTTTTATTTGAAACAATTCGTGAAAAATCCCTTTGAAATATATTTCACACACATACCTATAGCGTAGATCAATGATATAGAACTTATTTTTTAAGTAGGACAGGTTTTAGAAATGACACAACAGACATGAAACAAGTGAGAGCTCATGTCTAAGAATCTCGCCACACCGTATACAAGATGAATGTAAATAAATAATACAAAAATAATATTTATAAACGAGTAAATCGAGATTATTAAACATTTTTTAATTTAAACTATGCCACCTAATGCATTACTAACTTATAAACATTCAGTTATTTTTATATGAATATGATCATAAAACCAAGTTGTAACTGCAATTCAATTTATTTTATAACGTTCATTGAACATACTGTTTATTTTGGTGGATAGTCCACCACATATTCTAGCCTTGCTGTTCCATATTTTTGTAGTTTACCATATTTTTCTCTATAAATTAAAAGTAAATATGTAATAATAATATTCATTGTCTTTTAAAAGTAACTTAGTAACAGCTTTGAACCGACTTGTTTTAACAGTTTTGAGTTGTGGAATAGCTACAAAACTATCGTGAAACAATTTAAGTTGCCTTAAAGTTTCTCTGGAAAAGTGTAAAAAACGCGTTGATTCGATGAAGCGACATGACAGGGGCGTAGAAAAACCTTGTCACACTTGAGATTTACAGGGAAAAGGCTGAAGGACGACAGGGTACGCGGGGCGAGGATCCGCGCCACTTGGACACGTAGCGGACTCCCCGCCACCCCTCACACCCGCCATGCCACTTATTCATCATTTACGTACATTTGAGTGTGATTTCGTTTGGGATCGTCCCCGAACTCCGGCCCTCTTACTCACTTACATTAGTTACATTAGACGTTACCGAATCTTGTTTTATTCAATTTCCACAGCGCTATTATCTTTCACCACTCATAGTAATAGGGATTCCTTTCCGACGTGTAATAATATTTCGCTTCACTCAAAGTTATAAGAGATTGTATGTATTGTTTTATAAAAGCAATATTATTTATTTTATTCAAAACTCAATGAGCTGACTAAATAAGATTAAATCTTTGAGGTGGCACCGCTGATTATTTATTCCGGCATGTTAAGTGTGTTTACTGTCACACAAATTTTTGCTTATATTATTACCTGTAGGAGAAAGCCGTAAACATTTTAATTCTCAAGACGCGACTTTGTCACCTGACATGACTGTATTGAGTTAGACGAGTCAACTGTAACAATACAATTAAATTGACCGCTGAGTTTGAAAAAATACCAGCAAAACAGTTCCCAGGGGGGTTAATTGTTTGACTTTAGTCGTTACCTTGACTAGTCATATGATATGCAATACTTGGGGATCCCTCCCACGTATCATGGCATCTACTTTGTCGTGACAGCATAATTATAGTATCCGACTCTAACATCTGCAGTGCCTTCCTTCCTGATAGAATGCCCTGTAATAATCCTAAATAAACGTATTTAATTTATTTGATTGTATACAAACGTCCCGTCCCCGTCCCCGTCTGGCCAGCGTGGTATAGTAGGCCAAAACCTCCTTTCTAAGGAGAGGCCTATGTCCAGCAGTGGACTAGTATAGGCTGTTGATGTGATGTTGATGTATACAAACAAACTAACTTAAAAAAATAGTAGTTGAATACGAAATACAAAATAAAATATATTCCTGCCATTCTGTTAAAATAGGTTCTTAAGGTTTTTATGAATATTTAATTAATCAAATAAATATTATTATTATCTTTGATAAATGTACACCGAGAATTCTGAACACAAATTATTTCATTAACATTGAGCTGTGCTCCATGCGCCCAAGCTGGCATCATTGTGTAAAGGTGTCATAAAAACTAATTTAAGAATGCTTGTTTCAGATGGTCACCAGGACAAAGAAAATCTTCGTAGGAGGGCTATCGGCACCGACAACACTTGAAGATGTAAAGAATTATTTCGAACAATTCGGACCGGTAAGTGTTTTAAATATTATCGACATATTAAGTTTGTATTGTCTCTTAGTAACACGTAGCAGCTGGACGTTAGCAGAACAGACATTTGACAGGCATATAATGCACGTGCTTCGTTTAAAGATTCAAGTTGAACAATCATTACTCGCAAAATTTTATTTACACCAACTTTTGAGAAAAATACTCGTATACCCCATGTCGTTCTCATGTCTCATTTGTTTTTAAGCAACGCTAATTGTACCCCCAGCTAAATCATTAAATACATTACCCTCAAATTTGACGCGTCGGTCAAACTTGCAAACTGTGTTATTGTGATTATGTTTTGCTTGTTTTGATGGAAATTCATAATAAAATAGCTAACAAGTTGCAGATGATTAAATTGTATGTACTATACCTATTTTATTTAGAACGATGAATAGCATTATATCGTATTGAAGCTTTTAACTAAATTAATGTTGTTTCAATGGATACTAAACAACAAAGCGGTGATATAAATCAAGGAAACAATTTCTCTGTCTCATATTGTCCCTGGTCGATATTGAATGAGACTGTCTTAGCACCAATCTATCGTGTCTTTTCTCAAATATAGTCACACGAAAATTAACCTTTGTAAGATTATTTAAAGTTAATATTCGCTTGGCACTGTGCTCGTGCCTGTAAGTCTGCGATAACTTGGTCTTTGTCTGGCGGTCGCGACTCAGCGCAGGACCAGGTGTCTATCTACAAAAGTTTCGTCGTAATTAGCCCCGTATCTAACGTGGATGCGAACTAAGGAACTTTTCAGAATTCAACATTGGATACAGCCGGGGAGTCATTGTGCCAGCTCTCAAAGTAATCGGAGTCTGCCAGCCGCCCGCGACGATCAAGACCTTCATTACCTATTATGAGAGTTTAGAATAAAGCCAACGAGTTTTTCGGAGTGAATGTGATTGATGCCAAGCGAAGGAAATATCCCGGGAGAGATAAAAGGAATTTAATGAAGAGTCTTTAAGAATAATGATTAAGGGAATGATTATTCCTTTTGGTCGGCAGCTTAGTGATAGGTTCCTTTGATATACTTTTTGTGTGACTACGAAATATTGTATATCCACAATCATTCTAATTAAATATGATTTAAAATACAAAACTTATTAAAACAAGCGGATTCAAATATGTTAACTCAAAAATATATTTCATAACAAGCATACTTACTCGTAGAAATTTGTTGAATCCGGGATATAAAATAAATATACCTAATAGAGAATATGCTCTTTGTATCTACAAATGTTTTGAGGAAGCAAATAAATACCAGAATACCATTATTACATTTGAGAACGCACACCGAGAATTCTGATTATAAATTAATTCAATAACATTGAAGCCGTGCACTGTGCTTCCAAGCTGGCGTCATTTCGTAAGGGTGTCACATTTTGAACAAGTTTAATTAACAATCTAGTCGCTTTTGTAGGTGCCTTCATTAGTGTATTTGTGGATAAACATTGCGCAAACTCGACGTGCGTGACTTGTGCGAAAGGTGAGCGGGGTGACTTCAGATCTTATATCAAGTCGGCCGAGTCACGTGCTACCACCACACGGCTGAGTGTTGTGACTGGTGTGGCGTACTCACTCTTCTGATGTGTGTGTTTGTGCCGTGACTCCGATTGCGAGCTTTTCAGATGCAAACTGTCACAGAATATCAAATGAACTACTTAAATACCAAACACAAGATCACCCCCAACTGAAGCAAAGACTGCCAGGCACACATGCACGCAACTTAGGTGTAAATGAAAGCCCGATAGGGTGGGGACGGGTAAGGTTCAACTCCGGTAACGATTTCCTTCAGATAATAGAGAATTTTCTGATGAAAGCTGCTCAACAATCCCCTTTCAAGGATTTAGGAACCATCAAATTTATGAGCCGTACGGTCGGCACAAATTTAGTTCGTCACGCCACAGTGCTGTCTATCGCATTCATAATGGCGATCTATTCACTAGATATAGCCGTAAGAGTATTATTTTACTGTGAAACGTATAAGTTATTTTCCAGAACTACAAAACTCAAGAATGGAGGTAACATGCATTCAGTAGGTAAATCACCGCAGATGTGACGAGCAAAAAAGAACAGATTGCAGCAAGCAGCAGTTGGCGCAAGAACGCAAATTTGCCGTACGCAAACACGTACGGCAAATTACTTCCGCTCATTTTCTGAAACCGTTTTAAGGTGAAGTTAATTTGCCAATTCCGTTTTTTTTTTGGAAGTACTCACCTATCCTTGCAAGAAGTTATGCTGTAGAATACTTTTAAAGACTTTTAAAAAATCGTCGCAGTTCTATTGTTATGTTTGCAGACATGCTTATCAAATATTTACGGTAGTTTTCTTTGATTATTCTAACTTCCATGGTTTTGACAGATATCCGTTAGAGGTTCGGTATTTAAAGGATGGATAAGGATAAAAAAACATATTTTTTTCAACCTCATTAGTGTATTTTTTTTTCATATTAAGTATTGATAAATACCGATCATATGTAAAATAATCTTTTAGCTAACAATCAATAAGCATCTATCAAAGTTTAGGTATACTTATAATTAGGCATTAGAAATCGCTTTGTTAGATGCAATATGTCTATAACAATTGATCAACTAGTCAACACAAGATACTCGCAAATTGTAGCACTATCGACTATCAGTTCGATAACTAGAAACTTGCTCTATGCAAACTGATACGATAGTATCAGCTTATTAGTGTCATTGATTAGATAATAGGCATTAAGGATATTTGGTGCCTTTACGTACACAAGTTTAGATTCTAACTTTACCTTGAAAGGAAGTTATTTAAAAATCATAATTCAAAAGAAATTTCTATAAAGTTATAACAATAACTTAATAGATGTGTAAGAGTTTACCTCCTTCTTCATATATCTTTTAATTTGCTTTTATCTTGTCTATTCTAAAACTCTCTTTTCATGATAACTGTTACACGAGTGCGTTCAAAATTTTAATAGATTAGTTCATTTTTGACCATTAACTACTAATATTTTTAGCTGTAACACTTTTATACAACTTTACGTAGACTGCCTTACTTAATTTACTAAGTAGAAAAACATTGTCATGTTTTTGTTTGTTTCTTAACTAATTATTTTAATGGTGCACATTTTTAATATTATATCATGTCGCTACAGAAACTTAATTCATTCAAATAAATTCGAAGCACCACTCAAAAATAGTGTCAAATTTTACACAAAAAAATTGCACGAACGGCGTAGTGGTTGGCGAAGCGGTCGCCACGCCGCTTCCTACTACGCCGAGTGTTGTGGGTTCAAACCTATATACTTTGTTGGATACTTTGTGTAATCCAGAAATTGTTGCTCTGAGTCTGGATATTCCTTGTGTCCGTTTCATGTATGTTTGTAATGCCCTCCGCGACACAGGATATTGTGTTAATAATTTAAAAAACAAAAAAAACTGATTGAAACCTTAAAAATAAATACTTGCCTGCAAATTCATGCTTTGTTAGACATAGGAATGAGCCAAGTGTAAAACATTTTACGTGTGCATCTGAAGGTTCGGAAGCTTTACACCCGATGGATACCGCATGACTTAACGGAGGACTAGAAACGACTGCGTGTCCAATGGTGCCATAAAATCATAGAAAGGTTTAACGGAGGACAGTCATTGGTTGTCTATTATATCGTGACTGGTGTTGAAACCTGATTGTACTGCTTTTTACCCGAACGAAAAAGCCAGTCGGTAGAGCGGGTCTTTCCTTTTGAAGATTTGCGGAAGAAAGTTTAGAAAAGTCGAAGCATTGTTAAAGAAATGGTTGCTTCTTTTTTCGGCAAATCAGGACATCACACTGCAGTATTTTTGAAGATCATAAGACAGTGACTGCAGATTGGTAGGTCTACGAAGCAATGTTCTCCATCACCAAATAACGCATCCTCACATTCTGGTAAGGTAACAGAGGCCTTCTTTTCTTTCTTCCTTCTTTGTTTCCAAAAATTAAAAATAAACTTAGAGGCACACGAGCCCTGAATAGGCGGTAAATGCGTTGCATGAAGCCATTGAAGAGGTCCCTAAGGAAGACTGGTCCAACTGCTTTTTACAGTGGTTTCAGCGAATGCTAAAATGTATTTATTGCGAGGGAATATACTTTGAAAAACAATTAATGTATCGTAAGTCTTATATCTAGTCTTATTTATCAGAATCCAGAAACTTTCAGTATGCCTTAAGTATTACATAACACTGAAGGGATAGAAATTATTAATGTTGAATCAAAATTAATTTGAAACGTTTTACGAGAGCCGCAGCAAAATCCAAAAGGTGGTTTAGAAACCAAGAAAACAGAGCTCTTATATAATATGTAAATCGGTCTGAATTTAGTTGAGTCGAAGCTGCTGCTCCGAGAGACCGACTTAAAAATTAATTAGCCGAACGACCGGTGAAATCGCTGAAGCGAGTACCGATTAAGAGTTATCTGGAAGAGATGACAACTGGAATGTTGACTTCAGCGGCCAGTGAGAACGTGCCCTTTTCTTTGGCTCTAGATAGTCCTTTAGGCTCTTTCGTTCTCAGCTCACTGTTTCCATCTGGCAATCTCTACCCCCAGTCAATAGAAAACGTATACTTGACCCTCACAATTTCACTACAGATTGCTTACATTTTATTTTTTTCTCTTCTCATGAAAATGTATACAGTCTTTATTTGTCTATCTGCCTCGCTAAAGCGATCTTATATTTAATGTTAAGCGGACAACTTTATTCACAACAATTTTGGCTGGAATGTCTAAGTAAAAATGCCTTCTCTCAGTGAATATTATTCTAAGATTTAGTAACGCGAGAAAAATAACCGATTATACTCCATCCGCCGACGTAATTGCTTAAGGATATTTTCAAGGGAATTTACGTTGAATTACTCCAAACCCTGTTTTGTGTAATGAATTATGCGACATAACAAGTATTTTTTACAATCGCCTACATCTGTTAACGACTGAGTAAAGTTACTAGTATTTTCTCTTAATTAAAGTTT